TTCATTTTGTGACATTTTCAACCCTAAGCTTCAGCACTGGTTCAAGAGCATAGGAGCATACACTAACCAAGTGAAAATTCATGTCAGAAATGCAGAAGTCTCTCACCAAAAGGAGAGCGCAATTCTGACACAGTCTCCACCCGAGATGAGGCTGTGTTGAATTTTATCCCTTTCTGACCAGGGTTATATGGATTCACTGCATGTGGCAGCACGTCCCGTAGCCATCTCCGACACAGGGCTGCTGCGGCGCAGCACTTAGTCCCCAAACACTCCCCTGATTCCTGCTTCTTTGCCATCGAAGGTGGCTGGTAGTAACTAACTTATTCCACCGGGCAACCATAATAGTTTTTATTATCTCACATTTACTGTATTTGAACTGATAAAAGAGGTTAAAAAAAAAAAGCGAAAGCTGTTTTCAGTTGAGAACTCACACCAGGAAAATTAAGAGCAGCTCCATAGAAATTATTGGCATAAACCCTCATAACTCTGCATATTTATAGTAATAATAATGATATTTTGGATGATGTTGATATCTGTATTTTAAAAGAGAAAAGGAAAATAGAGGAATATATGAACGTAATGTTAATATAGTGTTAGAGACACTACCCTTATACTTGCTGTTTTCCCACAACAGTCTTTCAGTGGGGTTGCTAAGTGCTGCTCATGTACTGAATTTAGTGAGTGTGGTTGGGATTTACAGAAAAAAAAAGTACCATGGTAGTTTCCCTGAATGTGGTCTTATTTTACATTACAAAAATTCTTCTTCTTGGGTCTGTGCCTACATAGTGCCAGTCACTTACAGTTGCGTTTGACTTCAAGTTACTCCTTTCAGACACAGCAAGAAGATGCGAGTGACACTGCGCAGCTTGCGGTTGGACTTACTTCTGTAATTCTTTTAAAAACTCATTCTTACTGTAAGGTCTTTAGAGAGGTGTGCAGCATGTTGCTTACCATTCCCCTAGTCTCTCTTGAATCAGAGTATTTTTTTTTTCCTTTGGTATCATTAAGGCTCCATTTCAGTAGGGATGCGAGTCTGTTTTTGTAAATCCCTCATATGAATATCTCACAGTAGTTCCCAGGGCATTTATTTGGATCCTGCATATTGCAGGCTTCAGGTAATCGTCCGACCCACCAGTTTGAAAACATGACTATTTCAGTTTTCAGTCTTGGAAGTGATGCAGAATGCATCAGAATATTTCTGCACAATGAAATGGAGAACAAAAAAAAAAGGCAATTAAGAAGAAAACAAGTGTCAAAAATTATTCTGATGGTTGAGGAAATACTCTCTGTCCATTTTAAACAATTATTTTAAAAGCTTGAGCAATCTTTCACTTAGTATTTCTGCTTGCAATTTAAGGGCTTCCTTGCTTAAAATATATATATTTTTTTCAATAGACAAGTTAAATTGGCCAGCAGAATGAACAGCGCTGCCTCATTTTCAGGTGTGAGATTCTAAGGATAAGATACACGATGTGTTAAAAAAGTGGGGGGGAGAAGAACATTGCGAGTTGTAGTATTCTGGAGCAGCATTACCGTAATGAACATCAGCAACAAAAATGCATTCAAATATCTTAAGACTTCTGTGATTTTAAAGCATATGTATTCCTAAGAGATTGACTATATTTAAACTGTTTTTCTGAATCTAAAAAGAAAAAAAAAAGGAAAATCCAGACAAAATTGCAATTAGTCATAAGATCAATCACCATATTTTCCAGGTTTCGCCTAGCGGCCCAGCACTAATAATTTTTTCCATAATTTAACATTAAAGCTGGAAAACAGCACTCCAAGAGCGCCAGGCGACTCCTGCGCTTGCCGGCTGCCGCCCCCGCGCAGCAGCAGCCCAGGCCGGCGGCCACCGCACGCTGCTCTCGGGGGCAGCGGCAGCTGGAACGACCGGGCTCCGAAACGAGAGGAAAGCGAGATGTTTTTTTCCAGTGCACCCTGTTCTTGCACAGGAGGGAGGCAGGGAGGGAAGGGCTGGAAGCGAGCAGGAAGATCCGCACGCACCTAGGGCGGGATTCCCCGCCGAACTCATCCGCTTGGCCGCAGCTTCAAGAGGGATGTGCTCTTACTCTTCCAGGGCAGTGGGATTATGGAAAACAAGAAACGCGGAGCGGCGCCCGCGCCGGGCGCACGGCGCGTTCTGGGGCCTGGCGCAGGTGCCGGAGCCTCCCAGCAGCCGGGCAGAGGGCTCCAGCAACACGGAGCTGGGGCGCTGAGGGACGGGGGTGCGTGGTCTGCAGCCAGACTCGGGATGCTGAGGGTGTTTTCCAACCCCAACGATGCTGTGATGGCAGCGCTGCCCTCGTGAGGCGGCGAGGTGGTGCCCGGAGCCGCCACAAGGGACACGAGGCCACGGCGCTGCCTCGGGCACGGAGTTACCGTGACACCGTTTGGTGTCTGCAGCCTTTACCACTGTAAAAGCTGACTGCTAGTTAAAATAAACCCGGGAAAAGATAGTAACAGCATCAGATCCTTCTCAGTGTGCACTGCACTAGGAAATAGCTATGTTCTCATTATTTCATTGCACTGTGTTAGCACTATATGTAGTTCACTACTAGCATATATTATGTGCAGGTCTAACTTTGTAAGCTTTTTATTTTGCTTTAGTAACGCAGTTCTTGTGGTTTAATTACTTCAGCAGAGTTCTGCTTCAGTGGTTTCCTGACACTCCCATTTTACCAATTTCTTTATAAATTAGTTCAAGAATCATTTATTTATTCCCCTTTCTTTTGTTTCTTGATTCTCAAATATTTATATCATAAAAGGTCTGCAAAAAATTCATGTGAGTCGCTAGGGGTCTTTCATCACTTTCAGGACCACTGCCAAAATAAGTTTATTGTGCAGACCTGAATCATAGCAGCAAACACAGATAATGGTACAAATAAGTTAGATCATCAAAAGCTAAAAGGAAGATTATTTAACTCACTAAATAATGGTGGATAGTTAGCCAAATTTTAAAGATGATGTTTGAAATCAAATAAAATGTTCTTACATATTTTCTATTATATGAATACCCACTTGTCTTCCCTCCTTTAATCTTAGTAAATAACTGACTGAACAAATCACCTGAATGATCCAAAACAGAATGAGTGAGATGAAGCGTCACCATGGAAAGTACTAATATACTTACACACACACAGGCACATGTACATATATATAAGAATATTTTTTCACTTTATATTTTCCTTGAAGCTGTGCTCTTACAAACATTACGCTGAGCCTTTTCGATACCTTTGCACTGGAATACCAGCAGTAACTCCAAGCTGGTCTCTTTCTGAACAGCAGGACGTGTCGCTTGCAGGCGAATACTCCTACGCAATAGGTCACACCCGGCTAAGGGGCTGGACAGAAGAGCGACCCATGGGGCCACGGCCCCCCTCTCCCGTTTTTTTTTTTTCTTTTTTTTTTTTTTCCTTTTTTTTGCCTCGCCCCACGTTTGGAGGCCTCCCTTCAAGGGCCTTCTGCCCGCAGCGTGCGCTGCTTCTACGCCCCGGCGAGACTTGGGGAAGCAGATGAGCCTATTGGCAGGGGCACAACGGCGAGGTGTTCTGGGGCTCTAAGCACTGCTGCTTCAGACTCACGCAGTGGGACGCCCTTCCTCCTAAAGCACTCCAGAACACGTCAGGGTATATTGCAAATTTGTCATATTTTTGTTATGAAAAAAAAAGAAAAGCTAAGAAACAAGTTAGATTGATAAATGAAAATGTATTTTACCTTTATACATGCTATACATGTCATGCAGATGAAGAAATCTACAGGTTATACAGTGACACCATAATAAAATATAATGTGACATTTGTCAAACACAATGTATCACAGCAAAACATTTTTGTTTTTTTTATTTAGGAAATAAATGTATGACTAATTTGGAAGACACAGTATCATGCTACAGCCTACTGCACAGTCAAAAGAAAGGGCTTTTGTTTTGTTTTGTTTTCCCTGAAGTACACTAACATAAATAGAGCTGGATCGCTGTAGGTATGTTTGCTTTATCACACACTATTTCATTGGTTGCTTTCCTGCTGCTGGCTTTAAAAAGCACAGGAACAGGGCTTAAAGTGAGTTCAGGCTATACTGTGAACTCTCTTACATAATAAGAAAGTTTTCACTTTTTTTTTTTTTTTTTTTGTGTTCGTTTCCAAACAGATTTGTATTTACTACTTTTCTCTTTTCTTTTTAACAAGGAACTGGACAAATATGTCCTCAAAGCAGCATATGATCACATGAAAGTTATCATAGTTCACCAGCAGAAATAAAATTAATATTGTATGGCACATAATGTCTACGCATTATACATTCTCGGTGTGCAGTTTTCCATACAGATGCTTATAGGATACGAAGGAGGCTAGCAGTGTTCTCTGTGTCTCTCTCAGCTTTTGTATTTCTGCGGCAACACTTTTACATCGTTTTGCTGCTGACTATATTTTGTTGTTGCTGAGCCTATAGGAAGACAAAACCACTTCTCGTCGTGATCGAGAGCCTGCTGCTACTAACCACGTGGCTGCATCCCCAAGGATCAACACGTTACCCGACCACCCCCCGACACACTCACTGGGACCCACTACAGTTGCACAGTACATGGTAAGGGATTACACCGGGCACCCGGCCCACGGTGCTTACAGGTGTTACAACAAGGATGATTTTAACACATAAGTGATAGTCGCTCCAGGACTATTAGCATTAACCAGTAACTGCCACTAGTGACTAAAAATGCCAACATAACCGTTAAAGGATAACTCCTACACTCCACAGTCAACAAGAAGGCTCTTTTTGACTCCAGCAGTTGTTTACTTTTCATGCCTCTTCAGCTACAGCTCTGAATTATACACTTGCTTAAAAGTTGCCAAGGATTCCTTATTAATGGCAAAAAAAGAAAAAAATAGGCACAGAACTGAAGTACAATATATTCAATTTCAATGCGCTGTGGGCAAACATCATCATTATTTACAAGAAAAAGATATCTAAACAGAGGAATGAGAAAACTTAAGACAGAATGATTTTAAAATAAAATGCGCATTGAAAAAAAATCACAGTGAAGTGTTCATATGAATTTTAAATTAAAAGAAGGAACAAGTGCTTTATTAGCAGCTAAAGCTCAAATTCTAATGCATACTTAGTCTTCCCTGAAACTACCATACCAGTTTCTACCAAAAGCAGCCAGTTATTCGACGTTTCCCTTGGCAAGACAGTTATATTCAGCTCTGATTATTTGAAATCCAGTGTTCAAGGACTGCAGAAGCTTTTTCAAGTGACAAGCTCATATTTTACTGCCAGTAGCATCACAGGGATAGATATCCTCCACAAACTGCTACCTCTGTCAATTAAACAAAAGAAAACTAAGTCAGTTATGCAAGTGGGGTGACTTCAGTTCCATAATTTAAAATACTCTCTTTTGTTAAAATTGTCTGTAGCATTGCATTTCGTAACTGTCATTACCATACTTTCTTTTTTCTTTTTTTTTTTTCTCTCTCATGTAATTTGCTGGTATTCCAGGATAAATTATTCTACACCATGCTGCAAGTATTACAGCAGTGAAAAGGGTAAGCAGAAACAGTAATTCACAGGATCACAGAATGGTTGTGGTTGGAAGGCACCTCTAGAGACCATCTAGTCCAGCCCCCCTGCTCCAGCAGGGACACCTACAGCATGTGGCACAATTACCATTTTCTAGGCTGGCTCTACTTTTGGCTGTTTTTTTTCCACACTAACAGGCTCCAAAAACACGTAAGAAAAGCATATGATTAATAAAGCAAAAGCGCGACTCTCTTCTCACTACGCTCTGAATAGATAAATGAAGCGTTTTCATTTACCAGATAATTTTGGTTGCTACGATGCGCTCAGTTCACACACGGTGCCAACTTAAGAGCACATGCAAATATGGAAGATTATGCTCAATTTAAACATCCTGGAGACCAGCTCTTCTTCTCTGCACATATGCTGTTTACCACTGATACATTCTTCTAGAAAGCTCATCAATAATCACAGCAAGTTATCACGATTAAGGGTGTTTATCGCAATACTGTACCTTTGTCTGTTTTGCAGAAAAGCAAGGTTGTCAACAGATAGAATTGAGTGTACTTTCCTGTCCTGGACTGTTAAAGCCCTCAATCAAGTTTTTGTTACAGTCATCTAGGCTAATGGTTTCACTGGAGATTTTGGAGTAGGTAGCTTGGCCTGTAAAATCCAGAAGATCTTCTAGAGCCTTGGAATTACTTGTCCCGTTTTGGTCGAAGGAAACACTGGGCATGAGTTCGTTCATGGGTGAATACTCAGGGATAGAGATGAGCTCTTCTTTTGAAACCGGGCTACAGAAAGGATTAAGGAAAGAAGATGCAGAAACAAAGGTGTGTGACTTGTCATTAAGTAGAAAGCAATTTTTTTTTTCTTCTATCAGAACATTAAAGTCCTCTTTATCTTAAGGCTGGCTACAGGAAGACTTTACGTAAAATTTATCTCACTCCAAACAAAAAGAGATTACTACTTAAAAACTGATGTTTGTGGTGGCTGTGTGAGGTGAACATTTATCTCTTAAGAATACATTTCAGGTATCATATCCAATGGTTTACCAAACAACTACTGAGCAGACAATCTCACAATACCTTCACATTTCATTACTGGAATATACTACTTTTATTACATCTTGCAAATTATAGTCCTCATCCTTCAATCTTTACATAAAGCGTCTACATATGCTCTTGTTTCACAATCAAAATAAAAATATATTTCTTAAGATCTCGTGACGTACTTCAGACACAGAAATCACAGAGAATTTCATCTCAGGAGTGTTGTGACCAGCTGAGCCCTCGCTGAGAGCAGTACGGCTGGGACACACTTCAGTGTGGGGTGCAGAAGGCAGGGGAGGGGGTTCCACTGAGATTTTTAAACCCGCGAAGGTGGTGGATAGGCTGGGAGCAGAACTGCTGCAGATCACATCCTGCCACACCAAAACTGGCGGGTGCTACTGACACTAGCAGGAGATTGGGTTTAACAGGGATCAAAGAACATTTCCTAGGGGTGCTGAGCTGTGGGACGTGCTGCTAGATGACGCCCCAAGAGCGTCAGCAAGGTCAAAAAGGAGTCAGACCCACTCACGGGCAAGAGGCCTGTCAGGGGATACCAGAAAGGGAGAGACAGGCCCTCCAATGGCCCTTACACAAAACATCCGCGTGGTCTGGACTGCAGAAAGCAGCTGGGCACAAGCGCTCTCCCCAACTATTTTTTTCCTATTGGTATTCTCAGAGTGAGGAATAATGCAGATGGACCCAGTTTCACCCAGCATGCCATTTCCTACGTTCTTTTGCGGATTTATTGGAGGTAGTGAAACAGGATAAGGGGTTAATTTGGCTTGCTGATTAGGGAACTACAGTATCAGAATTCCATGTTTAAAATTCAGAGTGAGGTTTCCCATAGCAACCTTATCATCTTCCTTCTTTCACACAAATCTTCCCATCAAAATCCAACAGTATTTACAAACAGGAAGTTGTTTATTGATTTCCATATATTTGTTCAGTTTAAATATATCAAGAAAATTATGAATTGCCTATTTTATTCTGTTTATATGGAACTCATGCAATTTTGATACGAATAGAAAACTGGTGGCACCTGAGCACCATCTACAGCAATTACTTTCACAGTAATGCACCCTGAATTCTCAGGACAATCTGAAAGGTTCGGGCAAATTTGTATGAAACTGCAAGCAGGCGGCGTAGAGCGTTCTCAGTACTTTTCTCAGCGTGTGAGTGAGACGAAGGTGTCGACTTTAATCTGAAGGCAACAATTTGCCTCTGGGCAGCTGCGCCAGCGGGAGCGCACCAGGCTGCAGACACCCCGCTGACACGTTCAGGGTAGGCGCAAAGGGGAGGAGTGAGGATTAACAGATAAAAGGCCAAACTTTAGATGCAGCTAACATGAATTCCATGATTTCTGCTAGTAGATATAGCCTGTACCTCACATCCATAGACTGAACCTCATCTGTTGAATCTTCCATGCAGTTAGCTTTCCCATCAACAGTGTCCAGCTGAATAAGTCCCGACACGGACTTCAGTCCGTTAGCAACTACGTCTTGGGAAGGCATCACAGAGGCAGTACTTTCTGGGCTTTTGTTTTTCAGACAGGCTGCCAGTCCATTGATCTCTGAAAAAGAAAATACGACAGTAGCAGTACCTGTGTTTAAATCATTAAAAAAATAAAAAAGCTTTTAAGTTACAGATGGAGTAGAAAAGAGTAGTACAGTGGGAGCCAGTTTCATCTATGATTCATTGTACTATATTGTCAATCCTCCTTTCCACTATAAAATTGCTCTTTGTGCTACATTTTTCTAAATTTAAAGAAGCCAAAAGAGAAGGCATTTTCTATGTCATGTAGTAAAAGCCTTGGGCAGGAGCAAATATAATATAGATAAATCGCACAGTTACATTTTTTGATCATTTTTACAATATATATGCTGCTTTCGTCAAATCATATCAAACGCAAGAAATCTGAAGTAATATAAGCCCTTGCAAACTTGGTTGCATACATTTTTTTTTAACCTACAAAACCAGAAGAAGAACATAGAAACTGAATCAATCTGTAGGTTGGAGCTTCTCATTACATAGGTGCTACCTCAGGTACTCTGCGGGGGAAAGACTTTCTTCCACTTAAGTGGCAAAACAAAAGGTGAGCCCCTGGTTTCTAATATTCAACCCATTTACACAAATACAGTTGTTTCTTTTGGAGATGAAAGCTAAGGAGACCTCAGATAGAATGCTGAGGTCTCCTAAATCTTTTAAAAGAACTAACTGTGAAAACAAGTCAGAAAAATATGGCAACTTTTACCTGGCTGGTTGAAAACAAGGGCTTTTGGCTGCTTTTCCATGTTCAGAGTTGATGGTATCTCCAGTTTTGGCTCTTCCTTCTGCAATCAAGTAACAGAACAACTGTATGAGACGAAGGACTGCAGCTTTCATGGAACTGATTGGACTCAGAGCTTGGGAGAGTGCCCATGGCAGGCAGGTGGTCCAAAAGCAACAGAGGATTTTTTTTTTTTGTTAAGCATAGATTAAAAAAAATTAACAAACAAACAGCTTGAAATGTCAGATAGCTTAGTAAAGTAACTAAGGAGTCAGCTTCCTTAGTAGAAAACATAAAATAGAAGTGAAAACTAAACGGTCCCTGTTCTCCACCCCACATTCCTGGCAGGCTTGATGCAAGGAGCTCAGCAGCCCGGTCACGCTGGCAGGCACAAGGCTGGAGAAGAACCAAGACACCAGCACAGGCTGCAGCTCCACCAACAGCTGCCACCACCAAGGAGGACCTCTGCCCCCTCTCTAGGCACAACACAGGGTCGGTGACACAGGAACAGTCACTCTTAGCTCTCAAACGCATGTAAGATCTGGGGATACAGCACACCTAAACACACCTGCTAACATGGAACTCTGCTCAGTGTTCACATATGGGTTATACACTAAAAAACAAATCAAAAGCCGCACTGTTTCATACCTTTACTTCCGGTGTTTCACTCCTCCTTGTCCTCTTCATTATTTCATCTATTCTCTAGAAATGAAAATAAATTAGAGCATTAGAAGGCAGGTGACATGCTTAACTCAAGAGAGTTAATACAGAAACGTGTTTCTCTACTGTGACATCAGCCCTGCCTCTCCTGAAAAAGGGAAGATTATTAAGAGAACAAATACAGAAAACAAAAGATCAAAAAACAGATGGGCTTTTATGCATTAGGTCTCACAAAACATGACTTTCTCATTAGATACAATTTAGAGAAAAATATTTTAATACTGTGTGTTTGCAGCCATGAGCTCTGCTCTGCTCCAAAACAAGATACTTATTTTGTCAACAATAGCTATCATTTCCATCTGGTTGCTTTTCCAACTATTTTCAAATGGTTGCTTTTTTAAATAGTTAGGCTTTCTAGAATGCAGGAGTAGAATAAAGTATTTCAAGTTATTTCTGATAGAAATGTGGCAGATGTTACCCTAAAAATCACTTCCTAACTCTTTACCCATGAAAAACCTCATCTCTTTGCACCAGAATGCAAGGAAATGGTCAGATTTAAAGTCATTTTGGTTTGATACTCTAATCTGCAACTGTAACATGCCTCCAGCACAGTGGTAAACAATTAAAAATAACATCCTGGAATATCATGTGTGGAAAGAAGACTTTTTACAACCAGAGGTTCTGTGCTGTGCAGCTCTGCAGTTGTCCCCTCTTTGCTGCCACAGAGCTGTATGTAAAGCTAAATTATGCAGCTTCAGCTGTAAACTTGTGCAGAAACAGTTGCAGTGGTTACCAGACAGTCATGCTGCCACTGTATAATATATATAACTAGAGAGGAGGAGGGAGGAAACCTGTTTTTTAATCACATTGACTTTCTCAATTAAAAGCATGAAGCTTTTGTTGAGTAGGTTTTTGTAGGCCGAGTAGGTTGACAAAGTTGCTTATTCCACAATAGTCTGTGGTGTCCCGGGCTGGGCAGTAACCACCATTTGCCCCAGCACGTCCTTCCTCGTTTGTCTCAGGCATTTAGCTTTGTGGGTAGAGGCTCATTCTGTGTCTGTTTAATTCCTAGTGGAAAACCATTTGCCTTAGTAACTCAGCCTCGTGACAGGTTTTGATGCCCTTGTTCTCCTAACTTGCAAGTAGCATATACTGCATGAGGCAAAAATAGCCATCTGCAATCCTGCCCAGATTGTTATTTGTAGATTTTAATGGGTGAACTTCTGGGCTTGTGCGTTTAAACAAGAAATGAAATAATTATCTTAAATGAGAAACAAACATGTACCTTCTTTCGCTCCAGTCTTTCTTGCTCAATTTGCTGCATGATTTGTTCCCTTTCAAGACGAAGCTGTTCAGCTGCCTCACGGGCTTTCATTTCTGCTTCTTCCTTCTAATCAAAATATGCAAAATATGATAGCTCATTATTTATTTCAGGCAGATTATCAAATACTACACTATGTTATACTTCCACACTTTGGATATACAGGTATATCCAAATCGCTGTTGGCAATAGCCATCTTCTAATATACAAAAAGTTTCATATTTTTAATTGAGGTGATACCTGTTTCTCAAGTTTGGCTTGGAGCTCTTTTTCTTGCTTCTCTTTCAGCATCTGCTCCTCCTCGGCTCTCCTCCTGGCTTCCTCTTCTGCCTTTTTTCTAGCTGCTTCTTCTTCGCGTTTTCTCTCCTCCTCTTTCTTACGAGCTTCTTCCTCTAGACGAAGTCTTTCTTCTTCTGCCTTTCTTTTCTGCTCTTCTCTTTCAAGCCTGCATAAATATTCCAGTATTTAAAAATATTTCACCTCGTTTAGTGTGAATGCTGTCATATGCTTGGCATGCAATCAGCATCAACCAACACAAGCATGAGTACACATGTCTATGGAGATGCGGAGACATGGCTAAGAGGCTGAGCACAGGTTCAGAATTCAGATGGCTACTAAACTTCCATTCCAATCTTATTTTTCTTTCAAAGACATCTCATAGAAATTATATTTCCCTTTAAAAAACAGCATGATAAAAGAAAGAGAATACACACTAATTCTGATTTCAAATAGAACAGAAAATAAACGTTCTGTAAGGCTCAAAAGTAAAAGCATTCCAATCTTATTTTTCTTTCAAAGATATCTCATAGAAATTGTATTTCCCTTTAAAAACAGCATGATAAAAGAAAGAAAAAAACACACTAATTCTGATTTCAAATGGAACAGAAAATTAACATTCTGTAAGGTTCAAATGTAAAAACATCCTTCTTGCACAGCATTTCAACCTCAGTGTTCACAAGCAAGTAAATCCTTCCTTCCTTCATTTCAGCTGAAGATAAAGAGGCTGAACAAGCAGCTACAAAGTTTCTTAAATCTATGTTGGTGACTGGCCAGCCCATTCAGGAGCTGCTTTGGCTACTGATCATTCTCTCTCTTTGCATATTGGGAATTCAGTAAATATTTCCATTGGGCCCAACTGGCAGAAGCTGGTGACTCTTTTAACCACATTCTTAGTATGAACATGACAGCAACAGACAGGCAGATTTAGTGCTTTAATATTAGGGACTTGCAGGAAGGTGAAATTCGTTGACACTCGCAACCAGAATCCAACACTGAGACCAACCTAAAAGCCCTTCCAAGGAGAAAGCCATGTTTCATGGCTAGACACAGCAAACTTCACTTTGCCCACACTGTTAATGCCCTCAAGTGCCCATGACAGTGTTGGTCAAGGAGATCAATTTCAGATTAAGTTGGTGCAAGATGCCCTGCAGTCTAAAACATATAATACTGAAAATATAGTTACTGAAAAATTGCTCCTTCCACATGGACTAGCTTGTTTAAAACTAGCACAGGTATTTAGTGTGCACATATTGGAAGTGTTTCAATGAATAGTTTTGTCCTCAAGCTACTTAAAGGAGCAAAATTATCATTTTGCAAGAGTACTAGACAAAGACTGCAAAAGATACTAATGAATCATGGGTCAAAATTTGAAGAAATAAAGACTTCAGTTTTTTTAAGCTGACAGCAGCTGTCTTGATGGTGAAACACCACAGTTTCTACCATCTTCAGTGGTAGAAGTTACTGTACCAACATTTTGGGGACAAGAAGAGTACAAGGTCAGTGCAGTCCACAGTACAAGCAGCAGAGAGAGATTATTATTAGGTAAGAATTTTCACAAATTAGCAGAGATACCTTTCCCGTTCTTCTCTTTCTTGCCTCTCCCTTTCTTCCTGCTCTTTTTGCAGGCGTGCCTGTCGTCTTTTCTCAGCTAGAATTTTTGAAGCTTCTTCTGCATCAGTTGTTCCTGCTGTGAGCTTCCCTGGAAGGATAGCACAGTTGGAAAGTTAGGCAGAAAAATGGGAGCGTGCCCAGCACTTCCACACTTGGACAGTGGCTGAAATGGGGCTGGCTCACACCGTTAAGCCATCCTTGCTTTCCCAAAGCACATATCAGCACTTTCAGCAAGTGGAACATTTGGTAAATAAGAATATCCCTGGATTTCAACATGCTCACATTCCCATTAGCAACACATATTTTCCAAACAGGAGCTGCCTTGGAGAATTATACAATTACTGGTTCTGGTAGGGGCTTTTGCAGGCACTCGAAAACCCACCACTGAGTAGCTTCATGAAGGAACAGAACCTCATGCTTTAGAAGTTGAACGTGCCCACAGCACCTTGCAATGCATTCTTGCAATAAAACTCACCTTCACTATTTTCAGTCTTCCCTGCAGAAGGCACGTGCTTCTCAGAGGCTCCCTGAGCTGCCTCATCGGCACGCGCGCCCGGGGGTTTCTGGTGACTGACGTTCTCCTTCTCCTTGTCTGCTTTCTTTTTAGGAGTCTCCTGGCTGAGATTAGAAGTGGCACGATGCTTCACAGGTGAGGCTGGGTATTGTTTGGCATTTTTAGGAGACTGAGGGTAAGTCTTTGCAACTGTCCTGATGAGGAAAACAAAAGGCAAAAGGGTCTATTATGTAACTGGGTATGAAGTTCCATCTTTACATACCCGATTCGTCTTGTTGTCTCTGGTTACGTGGGAATATCAGTAGTTTTGCACAATACTGCATAGAAAATACCCTGGAGGCAAAACAATCAGAACCTGAAATGCAGGAAATTATCAAGCAAGTGCCAATGATTACAGAAAAGTCAGATATAAAAGATCAAAACTATTGTCTGAGTTGCAGGGAAGTGATACGAAATCATGAACTACCAACTGCCATTTCATAAATAATTCGGTCAACAGCATTGTATCCAGTAGCTCATATCAGCATTTAAAGCAAAGCTATGATTGCTTTCTGTCTGGAGCAGTTAGGATGAGTTGTAGTGTGATGCTTTCATCTGAGTACTTTTCAAATATGGTCTTTTTCTAATACCATCTGTTTTTCTAAAATAGCAGCAAATATTGCTATACTGAGGGTAAAACTGGGCAGCACAAAAAGACACAGAACTGACCAAATCATTCTACAGTCAGCCCCACTATTTCAGTGCTTTAGCCAGCATGAAGGCAACAGACTGAAGGTTCAAAACTGAGGCCTGGGACTTTTTTACAATACATTTGCCTATTGCCTGTGCTCTAGATTGTGTGATAACCTTGACATCAGTTCTTAGACAGTGCAAGGGTAAAGATACTTGATATTCAGTGAAAACATGTGCACCTTAAAGAGAACAGATTACATGCAGACACAGAACTACATACAACCACTATTTACTATTTATACAGCAGCAGTAAGTAATATTAAGTACTTGTAACATTAAGAAGGACCACGTGATTATTTTGGAGGCAACATAGATTACAATCCTCAAAGAAACAGTGATTTATGGTGAATCACATTAGAAAAAATAATTTCACATTAAGGGGAACATTACACATGCAGTTTTAACCTGTCTTACAAATATGCAATTATGATACAAATGTATTATCCCTTATCACCCTTTTTCATCTACACTATATAGACTTTCATGTACTCCAAACAATGTTTTCTGGACTATGTACCCCTCCTCACAGAACATAAGCATGAAAAATGTGACTATTTGTGAATGGCTGAGAATCTACGGACCAGAGCGCAAAGTTTTGTATAAACCTAACTGTGTGGCCAGAAACTACTACCATCAATCCAGCATCTACATTATGGAGAAGACAGTAAAAATCTTGAGTCTTTCCTCCTCAGTGCAATTCATAAACTTGGGTCAACTCCTATACATGGCTCACACATGTGCCTTACCATTAGAGCCATTTCCAACTGCATTTCATAAAAAAAAAAAAAAAAAAGTGAATAAGAGGGCAAAGAGCCTTTTTTATGCTTCTCCAAAGCCCAGAGGATGCTCTTGTTAATCAGATACATCTTCCAAAACGCTGTCGCTTCTTGCTGTCTTTGCTTTGTGCTTCTGCTTTCACCATGTACCTCTCGCAGTGCTTTTAATTTAACTTCTAATGCTGTTAATTTAACTTGTTGTGACAGGAGGAATGAAAACAGTCCTATAACTAAGGCTGAGTCATTTTTAGTAATAGTAAAAAAGAAATTGTTCTCTAATAAAGACATGACACTCAGTTTAAATTTAAGAGGTTGGTAGGAAGGAGTCTAGCCAGGAGAACTACGTATCTTGCACCGCATCAGGATTAGAGCAGACAGGCTGCACAACTTACCTGTTGGACAAGAAACTGGCACTAAATGTGTTATTTAAATAACACAGCTTTGAGCTTTTAGACCTGGTGATCTTTTTGCTTACGGCTCTTACTGCTGAAAGAGCAAGTATGGCTTTACATGATTTAGAGCAACTGAAAGGGAGAAACATGTGAAAATCAGCTCACTGCAGGAAGGACAACAGCACAGTGCAGGGAGTGGAAAGTAGAGAAAAGCTATCAGCAATAAGAATCTTTCTTCAGAAAATTTCAAATCATTCATTTGATGCCTGTAAAAAGTACTAAGTGAACAGTTTCCACCTTTTATTTAAACAAATTGTCATCTGGCACATTTAGCACTGAAAAAAAAATGTTATTGGAAAAAAAGCATTACTCCTCCTAGTGTCCGTAGGACGCTACTTTTTACCAAAAGGGGACAAACTTGATTATGAAAAACAGAAAATGGGATCATTAAGGGAAATGTATAAACACCTGCAGATGCATCTGCTTAACATCTAGTGTACCTTCAAAAAGCCTTTAATTTTTGCCTTGGAAAAAATGGAGGGGATGTAATGAAATCCTTGCAGGAACTGGGAACACAAAACTGTGCCTTGTAATACGAATACCAAAGAATTAAGAAAAAGACTCTCAAAATTGTAGCATATTACCTGAAACTAAGCTGATCTTGAACACTAGACTTTTAAGAATATGGATGTACAGGAAGCATTTTCCTCCCAACAAAGGTACAAAATAAATTTTTCTGCTGCAATTACCTCACCTAAGCCCCTGCACTGACATGGGGGCAGCTGCTGGTAAGAAGCTGTTCTCATCCTGGCTCCCACAAGCATCTCTATCAGGTCTGAGAATCCACAGATGCTTAAATTAAAACGTCTCTTATTTGCAGTTGAAGAGGCACAGCAGTGGCCCACACCACAGAGCTTATCTGAGGGACTGCACAAGGGGAGCCCCGGGCTTATTTTAGCTAAGCATAAAAAATAAAGCACATGTAGTGCTACCGAGTCGGGGGCCACATCCAATTCTGGACATAAGCAGCAAGGCAGAGAGCAGAGAGCTTCACAGGCCAGGGACGTGGCAGGCCATCGGGCAGAGCAGCTGAGAGGGCTGATTTGAAACAAGAAGTCTGCAGCCCTGGCACTGCTGCGTTTCTCTGCCCCCCGTCTCCCTGTTATTCCTGCTAACCAAAGCTCCCCTGAAACCACACGAAAGGCTTCTGTCCTCAAGCTTGCTTTCTGAGACCGCGCTGATCAAACGCTACTTCTGGGGTCTCACATTTTTACTCTGTTATCTGTGCTATGTTCTCAAAGGATTTTTTTTCACTCTGAGTTTTGATCTTTTCCAGCCACAGAAAAGAGAATTTCATGTCTCTCTTACATTTCTTAAAAGAATACAAACTTCCTATAGCTCTATTTAATATTACTATTTTATTTGATAGCTGCACTGCTACAGATGTGTTCAAAACCTTGAAGTGTGCCATCCTGTAGGGATTAAAAATATTCTTAAATTCCACAGATAATTTTAAATTGAAAGGAAAGATCAGACAATCTGACAGAGAGTTCCAAAAGCCTCACTCCCTGCATTTAAATCCAAGGACCAACCAGATCATCACCTGTCACTGGAATTGCATGAAGAGCTGAATATTTTTATAGAGTTGGCCAAGCAGGATTATTATTTTTTAATTTCTGAGAGGAAATTTCAAGAGTGCTGAAGCAGAACTGTTTTTCTGGAATCAGTAGCAAAGATTTATTTAAATGCTATTTGGTGAAGCTCTCAAGGTCACAGAGGGTATCCTAATTGGGCCATGTTAAGATTAAATGTTCAGCAATACATTTCTAGCCGTGGTCAGAACTAGATCCTCTTGAGGTCTCTTACTTCCTCCATACAGCATCTACTTCTTCCTCTAAGCACAACAGTTTGTATTACTAACAGGGATTAAAACATTTCCCCCCACAAAAACAGTTCTCAAAATCTATATGAGTATCTCCCGGGGAAAAAAATCTCAGTCTTTGTCTACCATTTTAAGGGAATTGGTTCTACGAGCCACCCCTGGACAAGCTTTTCTGCCTGCTGTACTAAACATCTGTTTGTTTCTCAAATCTACATTTTCTTTCAGCGTGTCTCTAGGACAGGCTGTCTGCCCACCACCACTTGCTGCACCATCAGCAATCCATTTCCCTCAAATGAATTATGTAACAGTTTAGGCTTCTTCATATGTCTTTTATAGGGTTTGAATGAACTGACAGATGCACTGTGAACTGGGAACACCAGCAACTTATGCAGTAATACATGTTTTTATAGCTCAAACCTTTTTTCTTTACATTTTACAACACCACTGCATAAAGATCTATTCAAAATTGTGAGGAAAAAATTGCTTCTCTGCTGACTTGTCATTAACAATTCCTGTTACATAAATTCATATCATTCCATTATGTGCAAAATTCCATAGCTTGCTATCTGATGACTGTATATATAGCATATTGAAAGTTCAAGGGTCTGTGGCCTAGAATGGAAATATGAACCAAATATTGCAATTTCACTGTGTATGTCTGAAACAGAAGGAATGTCCATCAACACAGCACCAGGGGGTTTCCTATATTGGGTCTAATACCAGATTCGCAAAAAAATCATCCTCCAGAAAGAGCTACACACAAAAAGCTGAAACAGAAAAGGAATATTAGCTAGTTTCAAGCAGAATAAATTTGTCAAAAACGATCTAGTAGGACTGCTTCAAAATATGGTCAGGTTCAGGTAAAAATAGTATTTATCCATTGCCTATTCTATTACCTACCTTTATATATATATATATATATATCTACATAATCAGAGAAATGAAGATAATTTCTGAGACAGATAAGAGTAGGGCTCGTAAAAAGGCTTCAGGGAAAAAAAAATAAAAAAGGGGAAAAAAAGAAAAAGACAACCCCTGTAACCATGATTACACCAGCGTATGTCTGCACTTGAGCCAAACTCAGGATCCTGCACAAATTCAGCTGGAAGCAAATTGGTTTATACTAATTAATTTCAAACTGTGGTACCTGGAGTGTCAAATAAAAAAAAATAAAAATAATAATAAAAAAAAACACACACAACCCAACTAGGAGAAGTAACGCAATTGCCATTAAGCCTGGCTATGCTACCAGTCCACAAGTCTGCAGGAAAGAAAACACAAAGGTCTGCAAGGAAACAAAGATGAGGAGTGCAGGTTTAGATGAAGCATAGTAAGCATATTTATGGACCCAGCTGGTCATGTCAGCAAAAGGAAATATGTATTTTACATGTTGAAATTTCTACTCAATATTCATATTTTGTGCATTTCTTCGCATTCGGCAGAATTTCTTCAAAACCAAGTAAAACAAAAGCATAAAAGTATTATTTTAAATAAAATGTTAAATCTTAAATAAAATTTAATGGGAGTTACCAAATGAAAAGTAAATGCATAGTGAATTTTCAAGACTGAAAAAAGGCAGAGAAGTGGCAGAAGAAGGCAGAAGACTAAGATAAGGCCCCTTAACTCTATTAAACATATATTATATCTGTTTATCTCTCTCTGTGTGTGTATACATATATATATATATGTATACGAAGGACTAAAATTACTCGGATTTTATGCAATGCTTGTAAGGAAGATCCTCAAGAATCTGTAGCTGCTTTATAGATAACAGGTTCTCTGCATGTCTTAGACCACCAAGAAGAAAGGCATACTTAGGTGTTGCAGGTGACGCAGATCTTCTGGACAGGGCAGCAGGAGAATCAGACCTTCTCAGAGGAGACCCCATGCCAGATGATGAACTAGGTGTGGTTGGTCTCCTCTCTTTCTTTATCTTCTCAGCCTAGGAAATCAGTTCATTTTCATATTCACACTTAGAAGCAACACTTCAAATACATTTGGCAGTTTTCTTATCAACGTGGCATATAATCAGATTTGCACAACATGTATTTAAGACGAAAGTTTTCTGAACCCCAGCTTACAACTAGGGTATATAATCTTTTACTTTAAATAAACATATATTTTTAAAATATCCTGCCTTGCATGGACATGGCATATGAGTTGTGGATAAGGAACCACTGAGCAGAACACTGCTTCCCCAGGAGGACTGGGGGGCACTGGGTGGCAGTTTCAAAATCCTCCAAACTGTCCCTACGTGCAAGGCCTCCTAGGCAGAGCCAGTGGCACATGGAGGCACTTGGCACACACACTGCCACACATATCACACTGTTAAACCATGCAAACTGTGCACAAAACCTCAGCTCCCAGCTTTGGCCAGCCGCCTCGTGCCTCGTTTAGACAGCGTGAACCCCTCTACTGGGTATATGAACTACTGCAAGAGACAAGACATTACGTAACAGGTTTTACAAGTCCAGTGCAAGTTTTCTAAAACAAACCTTGCGTTGTGTAGACTCAATCAAGCTAAACGACCTGACTTTGCTTTTCTGGAAATGACAGTAGATCAATAATGCAAATTTTAAGTGAAGAGCATCTATAATGCCTACAGAGAGAGTTAAACAACTGGTATAAATCAGAGGCATGGCTAATACCCTTGGCAACTCTCCAGAATGTGTGAAGCTTGCTTATTAGCCAACGAGGCTGGATTAACTTATAGTCATACCCAGCACTGACATCCTATTTGTCATCCCTGTTCCCAGAAGTTACAGGCAAGTCTAGAACCATGAATTTCGGTGCCAGAAATGTCAGCTGCCTGAAAATAAAGGTGTTCCCATTCCAAACACCACTGGTTAACACTGACTGATTCCCAGGAAGAAGAAAGTATCAAAAGGCAGCTAAACAGGAGCACGAAACCAATGGAAGCAGGCACGACTCATTTTTTACTGATATTTCGTACCAACCAAAGAGGTATCGCTTCAGTTTTATGAATGGGAAGTGGAAGACAGCAACCAGAAGCCACATCAGCTCATCCAGAAGGGAAACACGAACGCGCTCCAAACCCACCTGAGTAGCTTCAGCTGCAGTCGCCCCTTTCATGGCATCAGAAGTGGAGGGTGAAGTTGCCTTCTTTCTGTCTGCACTTCGTGTGGGGGAAGGCTTGTAGGGAGATTTAAGAGGACTAGCTGGTGCTACACGAGGACAGATATGGAATACTAAAGAGTTATAGTACAATAGCAAGAGTAAAAGGGAGCACAGACAGAGAAGTAAGGGACAGGAGAAAACAGCAAACTTTCATGTTATAATGTTCAACATCATGAAGGTTATTTTCAAAGTTTTTTAAAGCGTTTTTTAAAAGCACATTACATAACACATACTTTTTTTTTTTTTTTTTTAGCTGGGGACAGTCCCTTAAAATTGCTCAGGAAGCCTTCTGACATGCCAAGTTTAACTGAACCTACGTTTTTCCCTCACTGACTTTCCAGCAATTTGGCAAAAGTGCTCGGAATATGAAGAAAAATGTTTAAAATCTTACTTGCAAAATAAAATATAAACTTTTGCTTCAACTATAAAAAAAAAGCATCATAAATTTCCAGTAACTACTGCTTGCCTTGATATATTGCCTGAGAGCAGATTGCTTTAGAAGAAGAGTCTGAAACTGAGGACCCTCATTTTCAAGCTTGCAGAAAATGCAGGAGCGTGAGTTTTGCCCAAACACGATGCAGACTATGTATAAAAAAGGAAGGACCCCGCTCCCTGCCCAGGAAGCTCCTTCTACTGAGAGGCTGAAAGGCCGCTGCGCCAACTAAGTCGCTGCCTGAGGACAGAAAAACTCTTTGACAAACACTACGCTTGTACCCTCCGCAAGGCATGTGGGAGAGCCAGGGGGAAAATGCATTTGATAGCTAAAGAGAGGGCCCTCCCTCAGCCCTTTGCCAGCAGTTACTGACGGGGTGCTGCGCGCAGCCCGAGCCGCACGGGAACGGCAGGGGCACGCG